GGCATTATAACCACGTGACATTTACTCCGATCGCCAAAAATTTTATGTTATATTGTAGATTGATCTATATGTTATCCATGCTATGTGTTAGACTTACGATAAAAGTAAAGGTGGGGATACCAGAGAGCTTCAAAGTAGGATGGTACCCCCCCAAAAAAACTGGGTCGAGTCACCTTAAGGGCACATTCATGTGACTTTTGAGGGAAAGGCTAAGTTATTTTAGAGTGAAACATCTTACATTGAATTGATAACCTTATATGTACACCCAAAAAATAGCAAACATCTTCGATCACATTCAAGATCACAGTAGATTAGGCCTCGAAAAAAAATTCTTGGAAAACAAATCACGCCAAATATTAATTTAAAACAAAACAAATAAGTAAACAAAACAACAAAAAAAAAGGGTACGAAGTAGGATTCAAACCCGCACCTTAGGCTCGAGGCGACTTCACCTTACCACTTACTCACTTCTACTACGCATGACCAGGTAAGTCAGGTGTAAAAGCCATTGTTTAAGGCTTTTTCGATGGAACTTTCGCTGGCGAACGCCTTTCAAAGCTATATTCGAGCCGTATTTAACACGAATTCAAACGTATATTTCAGGAAAATAACCACGCTATTCACATTAAAAAAACCAGTGTAAGCGCATTTCATGGCAAAGTAGGACGCAAAAGTTTTCTTATCTCCGTCTATTTTTTTTCTTACCTTCGCTCGCGGCCGCGCCGCGGCTTCGCGAGATTAAAACAATTAGTTCATGATTCAGCAGTGCTTATGTCGAGATATTGAGCCCTTGGGAGGTTTGGAGAGCACTCAAAGGGCTAGCTAGTTGCTCTAGGCAGCGCCTCGAACAACTCTTACGCCTGTTTCGTGCTCTCCAAACTTCCCGCGTGCTTAATGTCTCGACATACGCACTGCTGAAACATGAACTAATTGTTAAATATTGACCTTCTTTACCTCTGATCATCAAACTCTTTTCCTATGAAGGTTTATTAGTCTGGACGAGCACTAAAAATGTTACTATTTTTTTCTTTCCTTTACACAGAACACCCGAGAAAGAAAGACAAAGACAAGACGTTACCCCTACTAATCATTGAAAGAAGTTTATAGTACTCTTAGCTGCTGACAACTACAATCGGCACAGCCACCTCTCTACAATGGCCACTTTCTTCTGTCCCGAAGGTGGCCGTTGTGGAGACGTTCAACTGTAATTCAATTCTAAACTTGATTCCTATTTAGAACTATCATGGAGCTATTTTCTGACTTAAGGTAAATAAAGCCGATTTATTAATAGTTTTCTTTCACTTACGTTGGGTTACTCCAGAAAAACTACACCCCCACTGGACTGGGACCCTCTGCGGCGAAAAGAAATATTCAGGAGTGTGGACTGGAACTAGTGCACCAAACCCTCTCGGTCAACAGCGCCAGCACGACGTTAGAGGTGTGTGAAAGACTTATGTGTTGCCCAGGGCCGTTGCTGACTATACCGGGTAGCCCCACGAAAGGCTGCCGGTATAGTATGTACATTGCCTGAGCCTAAACCACCAAGCCACCCTCCCTTCCCTTTAATCTTAAGGTCTTGGTCAGCGGCCCCCCACCATTTATGTTGCCGTTAACAATCCGTCGCTAAATTCTATGACACCACCAACCTCTTCCCCAGAGTTCTCTCTATTGCTTCGAGAAAGAACCCTGGTTGCGGCGGCACACGTGGTTCCCAAAATCTGGGAGCCAAAAGTAAGGGAGGAGAAGAAGAGTAACCAATTGTCGCTATGTGTTTGTCGCCTTGTTTATTATCAACTGATGGCGCGGGTTGTCCAACAAGTTATTCGACAAAGTCAAGCTGGGATTGAAATGAACTTTAAAAGAAAGATTGAAATATCACCTTCTTCTCCAGTGATAGTCAAGAGTGCAAAATCAAGTGCAAATGAGAGAAGTTGCTTTGCCTTCAAAATTATGTTATCGTAACTAGCCGAAAGTAACGCAGTTTGCTGGCAAAACCAGCTTTGAGGTAAGAATTTTCTCCCTACCCCAGATAGTATTTCATCGTCCAGTCGACAAAATTTAGAGGGGACCTACCCCCGCCGTGCAATTTATTGACACACATTTCGCAACCAGGGTTCTTTCTCGAAGCAAGCGAGAGGACCCTGAGAACGAGGTTGAACACCACAGGCGTCCCAAACTCAACATATGAGCGCATGTTAACAATTAATAAATCTGCTGATATTGCATAAAAGTCTACTCAGCGTCTACTTTGAACCTTAATGAAGCTGATGACAGAATAGCAAACCAGTCCAAATCGCTTAAAAACCACACAGGAACACAAAATACACCAGAAGTAAATATATTCATTCATTCTTTGCTAAGATAAGGCGGTATTTTTTTCGATTTTTTTATTTTTCTGATATAAACACTATAAAACGCTAACTTACGCAATAAGAGCAGAAGTGTTATTTTTTTAAACATTCCCTCAAGACGCCTGTGATACTGACAATACAAGGATTAAAAGTAACAGCAAAACACTGCGTGAAGTAAATAGAAGACACCTGACTGTTTTCAAAGACATAGATTTATTCAATAAGTCAACCTAACTATGAGTCATACGAGCACGTATGCGGCTTAAGTGAAAAACATAATGATATAATAAATAAATGAACTATACTGATGCGAGTAGAGATTGGAATCTACCACGTTAACTAAGTTACTGTTTTCACTTTTCAGAAGAGTTCTGCGCTAGTAGAATGTTGAAAAATGCTTGATATTGTTACGTTTCCTATACTGCAGTGTATAAGATTTAAAAAAAAAAACGGGTATAAGCTGAAAAAGCGATATAAAAAACTGACAAAAGTGGAAAACCTTTTGTTATAATAGGACTGCGCGTGCGTTATATTGGGTTGGTGATATTATATTCAGTCCGTAATAAGAATTTCTTTCGTGCCTAAAATAATAGATAGTATAATACACCTTACATAATCACACAAGTAGAATCCCGATTTCTCGAGCCCTTGTTCGAAATTCCCATAATTCGAACCAAACCTGATTTCTGTCCCCTAAAAAGTCAAATACTGTTATTTTATCCCCGATTTTTCAAACCTCCCGATAATTCAAACCAATTTTGTTGAAACAACAAAGCAAAACAAAATACGGAACCCAGGGGCCATGATACTCCGGATTTCAAGTGACAGGGATGATCGACGGTTTTTTTTTGGGGGGGGGGGCGGGGGAAGGGGGGAGGGGGTTGAAATTTTCGATTTCGGGATTTTTTGGGGTAGGAAAGTTTAGGCAAGTATTTTTTAGGTAGCTTTTAAGCAGAGATTTTTTTGGATATTCAAAAATTATGTTTCTATTTTTCGTGTTATATCATTTAACGCTTTCTGGAAATTTTTATGGCTCGGAAATTCGGCATGGGATTTTTGGGGGTTTTTGATGGAAGCCCTGGGGATTTTTCTGGGTTTCGACTTTCGATCATCCCTGTCACCTGAGATCCGGAGTACCCCCCCCCCCCCCCCCCGGAGACGGGATTCCACTGTATATCATTATACATGGAGAACGATAAGTATCTTTGAACCGATGATCGTTAGAACAAAAATAAATACTTGACTAGAATTAAAGCGTTCAAAGAAGTACGGTAGATTCTCTACTAAGTCGTCCCTATTTCATATATAATCTCCCTTATGAACCCTTTCTGTTATAAAGAAGAAGGTTATGAAGCCCTCTCCATATCGATCGCTGCCGCCATTTTTATTGTTACAATTCAACTCTTTTACGACAGACTATTCTAGATTGTATGCAAGTGGAACTGACCCTATCGGTTGAATAAATAACCTAAGCGGTTGATATATTATGCGGGATATATTCACTAGAGTGAGGGATAGAGTGTGTTAGATATATTGCTAGAGTTTGTTGTAAAGTATGTAATTGCCCGTTTCCAGTACGCAGATAGAATACCACAAGAGAGTTTAAGCAATTCTTCTCTCTATTTAACCTGTCAAATGTATTTAAAATAAATAGTTGCCAGAGGCGAGGGCTGAGCCAAACTTTTACAAGATAAACGGCATTTCACAGCAAACATTGAACATAAAAGAGCCTCATTTACAGTCAAACCAAGTCAAGCGTACCCCCCAAGATTCTATTAATGAATTGATTATTTGAAAAGTGAATCTGTTAGTCGTTCCCGTAACTGGTGTCAAATTCAAAGCGGCATTTCTGCATGCGTAATGAGCAGTGAATATTTTACGAGAACTTCTCTGTATTTGGTCAGATTGGAAATCTTTGAATGGATTAAGCTTCTTAGAAGACATTTACATCAATTTCAGGAAAATGGAGGTGGTAGAAATTTCATAACTGCCTCGCGTGTGAATTCACGGCTCATTACACATGCAAGAGTGCAGAGATCAATCTGAAATCTACAACTAGCAACGGATTCAACTTTTGAATAATAAATTCATTAATGTATTCTTGGGGGGTACGCTTGACATGGTTTGACTGTAACTTATGAACGCTATAAGTTTGTTGCGGTTGAAGGGGGAAACATCATAAAATTGAAGATTTCAAAACTTTTTCAGCCCGTTAGCAAATAGAGAGCTAAAGCAACCGAGACGGCAACAGCGGCAAAAACATCACTTGAATTTGCACTTTTTCAAAATTCATAGCTCTTCTTCTATCTTATTCACTTTCTCAAATGAATTCCGAAAGGACTGTCTGCAAGTTCACAAAAAGATAAAGGAAATGGTGATCTTTTGTCCACTGACATTCTCCATAAAACGCCAAGTTAGGATCGTCGCCGTTTCGCCGTCACCGTCGTCGTTGCGTAAGCTCGCTATTAAGACTCAACTAAGTGCTGGACCGCACCTTTTCCTGCCACTTTTCTGCATATTTCCTGCCAAACCCTCGAGCCAAGCAGTCAGCGGAAGCTTCCCCAGAGCGTGCGCTTGTAACTTGTTTTCTTTGTCACGTACAGTGTGCCTGGCTTAGGATGCCTTGCCCCTTTTTTCTCCTCTGGTTCGTTAACGAAACCCTAGCATTGGCGGTGGTGTTTTAGTCTTTTCATAACCTGATGAGAGAGCAATAATACATGCTCATGTACGGTATTTTCAATTTTTGTGGTCAAGATAAAATCAAATTAGTTGTGCCTGGCGAAGCAGTTTTTGAATTTATTTCATTTTAGTTTTTTTTAATCATGATTTCGACTAGGGAAAGAATTGGATCACATCGAAAAGATTGTTATGAATTCGAAATAAATTGAGAAAAACAAAGTGATAGTTTTGATGTTTTAGATTGTAAAATATAGTAAACCATCATAGGATTGTTTATGAACAAGTCAGAAAAAGAAAATCCATTCAAGTGCATCTGTCTTTTTGCAACACGCGAGACAACGCGTAATATTTCGAAAGCACAAAAAGCGGGGATTATTAAACAGTTGACCAGCGCAATTAGTTTTTCACCGTTTTACCTTGGAATGAAATATTATAATTAGCTAAAACTCCGCAGAGGACAAAACGTCAGTAACAACATAGTCCAGAATGAATCCAAAAAATAAGGTCACAGAGGCTAAGCAGAATGATACAGCACCTTAACTACAAGATCGTAGGCCTTACCTTTATTCCTACTGCAGCCGTATACTTCCACTCTCATGCATATATTGTTGAATGTTCTAGGGTAAAATCGCACAAACCTAGCTTGAATTGGACGGATTAATTTGTTCACCACAGGTGTAAAATTATCGCAGTTTCCAGGTAAAACCTACAAAAAAAACGTATTCAGGTTAGGAAAATTCCCATTTCCATATTCAAGCTCTCTCTTCTTCCTGTCCTCTCTCACCAAAAGGTGATAGTGGGGCATTGTCACATTATGTTCTCTTTGTTACTATTAAAAGACTTCGCGCTTTTTCAAACTTTGACACCATGGTCCAACTCTCTAAGAATGCCAAATGACGATAATTTCCTTCAAATTGAATTCTTGTTCTGAACCCAAGTTTAGATCAAGACAGAACAATTTGTCGTACGTCATAATCATGTATTCAAGTCCTCCATGAAACGTCACATAAGATAACAAATTTCTAGTCGTGGCCGTGGATCGGATCGGAGAGATGGTAAAGAAATGTACCAATAACGGTAAGCTTGACGTGCATCGCCGTTGTCATTGCTAAAGCTCACTGATGTCTCGGCCTAGGAAAAAGCCCTCCACGCCGTCTAGACTACAGTTGATAAAATTAATACGGTGAGCGTTATCTCGTTGGCAAACTTCATCGGTGGTTCTCAGCCAACGGGGAAGTGAATTATTATAAGAAAAGGTCTTTTGAATGAATAATAGCATATACTGAATTAGGCTTAAAAAGAAAAAAAGTCAAAACATAGGACACTGCTTACTTGCTGTCTACTAACCGAGCCACCCAGAGGACTTTAGTAATGGGAGTTGCTATCTTACAAATCAGATGATCATCATCTTACCCTGAATCGTCCATCCTCTTTGTACTTGTTCCAACGCTGTCCGTCTTTACTGAATGCCAATTCATATGACTTTACATGCTCAAAATATTTATCGCGACCTGCCAGATGAAAAAATACCGGTAAAAAAGTAACTGTTAGGGTGATTAAACGATCAGAAACTTATTTAAAAGCTTCTCAAGAAAGTGACTATGTAAATGCTAAATGTCAAACCTTCCTTCGTTCGTTCACTATTCGTCACAGTGTTTATTCACCATTTTCACCTTGTTTACCCCCCAAAATTTTGCATAAGTTTTTAACCATGGTTTCTAGTTTCTCCTGGGTATTACAGTCGTCCCAAGAGAAATCGAAGACAATGCTAATGTTATCCTACTACTTTTTTGCCATTCTCGTTGCCGTCGCCGTCGTCACTGTTGTGATCCAGAAATTTTGCCACCATGGTAACATGACGTCACATTTCTCCTCTCTATTCAGTGTCTATTATAACTTCATAACGAATTCGTTGTCCCCCATTTTGAATTATCAAATTGTAAACAGCATTTCATATTCATATTCATATCCAATATTCAAAACTGGATGACAGGCTAACGAGAATTAAAAAAGGGTCCTATAGAGAGGGTTCAGAGCCACCTTAATTTTAGTAAGTTAAAAGTGATTCTAAACTAGTTCTCTTAAACCACATGTGGGGAGCATCTTTACCTTGTGTGGCAACAGCAGTNACCATGGTAACATGACGGCACATTTCTCCTCTCTATTCAGTGTCTATTATAACTTCATAACGAATTCGTTGTCCCCCATTTTGAATTATCAAATTGTAAACAGCATTTCATATTCATATTCATATTCAATATTCAAAACTGAATGACAGGCTGACGAGAATTAAAAAAGGGTCCTATAGAGAGGGTTCAGAGCCACCTTAATTTTAGTAAGTTAAAAGTGATTCTAAACTAGTTCTCTTAAACCACATGTGGGGAGCATCTTTACCTTGTGTGGCAACAGCAGTAACAAACTTTATCTTTCCCAGATCAACTTGCAGCCAATGACCGTTCTGTTTGTCTTTAGCGCACCATCCTCCAATTCTCCTCTGATATCGATTGTCTTGTTTGTAAAGTCGTGCATTGTAAGCACCAAAGTCCCATCCGCCTGTAACCGGAAGTAAAAGCACAATTTGTCAAAGAGGGAAGGATAGAGGGAAGGATGGAGGGTCTACCTTTTGTAGTAATAGCGGTGCCAGTTGTCTGAGTGATAAAGCGTTAAGAAATCGAGGCGAAGTATATCGAAATCAAATCAGCCGCTGACAATACAGTGAAACCGGTTTTTCGAACATCTTGGGAAAAGCAAATTGGTTTAACTTTTCCGGAGGTTTGAAAAAATCGGGAGCATTCGCAAAATTAACGTGTTTCACTGGTGAAAGGAAGTTAGGTTTGATCCGAATTATGGCGAATATCGAAAAACCGAGGGTTTGAGGAATTGGATTCCATTCAGTAGAATCCTAATTCCTCGAACCCTCGCACCCTTGTTGCGACTGTTACCCTTCGTCTGGACGAAAAAAGCACTGACGAAAGAGTTGACCCTCGAAACCTAATCTTTGAACGAGTTTTACACCTGGTTTATCCACAAGTGCTTTGTCTTGGGAAGTCAAGCCAAATACTCTTTAGATATTTAGCTCCGCTCTAGAACCAACAGGGCGTATTTGAAGCAGTTCGACACTGCAATTTTCGATTTCGTTATTTAAATGCCTTGATGTGTTGCCTGATCCATCCTTAATATATCAACTGTGCCTCAACGCTGACCTGTCAACAAACTTGAAGATGCTTTGAATGCACTGTCCGGAAGAGTAAAATTCCATCCAACACCCAGAGGCTCTGAACAGGTCCCTGGAAAAGAGAAGGCAAATTAAAGCAAAGAAACAGATTCAAAGAATTAGCTATTTGAGTAATTTTACAGTCTCGCCTCTTCCCCCCGCACCTGCCAAATACAGTATGATTGACATTATAAGTTTCATCTGGCCCCAATCGCTCAAAAGGAGGATAGCGCTATCCACTGGATAAATTACTATCCAGTGAATAAGTATTAAGAAAAACCTACTGCGTTATCCCTGACTGGATTGCAATTGTGGATAGCGTTATCAACCTTTTGAACAACTAGGGCCCGAGGATTACTTATATTAGTTTTAAGTAACGAAAAATTCAAGATAATTGATTTTCAGTGAATTTTAGCGGTTATTTTTCTTGCACTGCTAGGTAAAGTGTCTGTTATTTTGAATACTGTGGCGATCAACTAAAGAGGTCTTTAGACGAAACTAGTATTACTGTGAATCGCCAAATAAATTTAATAGTGTTTTAAAAGTGGTCACAAATTAGGTTTTTTTCTTTTGTTTATTGAAATCACTGATTTTCGTGCTATTTAATTTTTTTACGACAAAAGCTCTTCCCTTTCTGTTATTCTAATCGCGGTAAATCATTCCTCTACCTTATCTTGTCTTAAACAGGGCAGCGAAATGAGCAGTTTCTGTCTTAAACATGCTCAGGGTTTGAAGGGCTCGGCGGCAAGTCCCAACTCAAACTTGCCTTAATTGCCACTTCACCCCGGGGAGTCTTATCTGAGCTCTGTTTAAGATTCAGTCCGTTTTCTCACCTTCTGGTCTGACTTCTTCTTCATCACATCCCAGAGCTAAACATGTTCTAATACACCGTCTTCTCCATTTCGTGGTACACTGGCCACGCTCAAGAAACTTCTTACAAGGATCATCACACTTAATACCTACAAAGTGAAGAAGCAAATAGCTCCCTGAGCCCTGAAAAACCTCATCAAGGGGCGGCTTAGGTTCCAAGGCAGGTAGCACGCTGGCCCAGCTTTAAAAAACTTTCGAACTTTAAAACGTTTATGATCGCTTGTCTTGCTCGTTTTTCACACATATCATAGCTTTCCTCTTACGTCCTCTTAGAAGGTCTATAATTCGATACGTCGCTTTCTAAGGAAACTTGTCTTGGTTTCGCAATCCGAACGCATCAAACGTCTAATTACTTTATACCTATGCACTCAAGTCTCTTTTCACTAAGTTCTCAATACCTTTTGGTTGTGCTGGTTGAATCTTGACAGGTTCTAAAAAAGAGAAAAGACAAATAAATAAATAATAAAAATACATTTGCAAATCAGGAGTGCAGTAAGGAAATATATTATGATGAGTGCCAGATGGGAAGACGCAATAATTTATTGTCTCCATACCAACGATCCTCTTTTTAACTAAAACCTATTGACATCATGTTTAACTATAATAAGTACGTTTTTGGAAAACTTGTATATAATCTTAGTCTCCCCGCAGCCGTTTCTGTCTGTTTTGTTTTGTTTTGCAAGCTTTTCTGGACACAGGCCTGCCCAGAGGGAATAGGCACGAACGGGACTCATAGGTCCCATGCAAGGTGCCATCCCTACCCAATCCCAAAACCCGTAGAGGTTGGCCACACCACCGGGGTCTACGTCCCCTACTCTTTTCGAACAGTAGTGTGGGTTCTTTCCCGAGAAGACTAGAAAGTCTAACCATTTGCAGATGTCATTACAAAGGCAGCACTTTCTTCTCAGTTATTTAAAGACCCTAAGTGTAAGTCCGGCAGGGGTTTGAACCGGCGACCTCCCGCTCAGCAGACCGGCGCTCTCCCAAATGAGCTAACCAGGCGGCAGTTTTGTCACGCAACGCTCCTAATGGCTGCGAGGGAGACTAGTGTAATCTGGATTTTGGGATGAAATATCGGTTGTCGTGAAGTAATAATAAAGCTTTTAACGACTGTGCTGGGAGCCCCTTTACCAGTTTCCTCACACTTCTACGTGAATAAATGAACATCCAGACAAAAACTAGCATTTAATAAAGGACTTTGGCTGCCCTCAAAAATGCCTTTAATTTGATTTTTTCTTTAAGGAGCAAGACGGTATGCAATTTGTGACGATTTACCGGCAAAAAGAAAAAAGTGGCATATCCTTTCAACCAAGACACCAAGAAACTGCATGTACTCGTCCTAAGTAAAGTGTAGTACTGGGAGACTATAATAAAATGCAGTAAATGTTTTTAACTAATATCAGTAAAAACGGCTGCGATGGAATTAAGGTAGAAAGTTACAGACATCTCTACAAAACAGAAAAACCTCCCTAAAATGAGACACCCCGCTTCCCTTTCATTGTTCGTTATTTCCTTTGACTCGTCTCCCTATAACGCGGATAACTCTCCAAGATAGAAACTACTGGTGCCGATCCTAACGGTGCCCTTTGGAGAGAGTTGTGAGTTGCGTTTCTAACTAAGTAGTCCTGGTAATGCTTTCGTGTGTATCCCTCTTAAAAGTATTCTCTTTCGATCTCTAGGACTACTGAAGTGTTACCTTTGGGACATGAATTACAGGCATGCTGACACTTGTCAAGCATGAAAAGGCCCCTGCTTTGACAGTAGCCAAGACCTGCCCAATGTTCACAGTTAGCATCATCCATCTTGTTCTTGCATGGCTGCGCTTGTGTATTTTCTGCAAGCAAAGAAAATTGGCAAACTGAGAAGATTATACATCAGGTCCCAGTTGTTCAAAAGCTTGATAGAGCTATCCATTGGATAAATCTCTTTCCAGTGGATAAGTATTAGGGAAACCAATTGCACTATCCACTGGATAGAGATTTATACGGTGGATCATAGCGCTATCCAGCTTTTGAACAACTTGGGCCAGTTAAAAATAGGCTAACTTCCAGCCTTGTGTATTCTATTCTCATGGTTTTCTTATTTGTACATCATATGAAAAGGAGGAGGGAGTCATGTTTTCAACTATAAGGTACTACGAATGTGAAACATTGTTTCACATAGAAAATTTCGTCCTGTTGTCGTGATTTGCAATTCGAATTAAATAAACTGTTGTGGCAATTAGGTCTCGATTTCCAAAGCTGGTGCACATCACTGATTTTCTTTGTTTTCTCTTTATGAATTATTTTCACAAACTTGTTAACAAGCCACTATGCCCACTAACAAGAGCTAGAGAAAGTTCGGGAAAAAGAGGACTGGTATGCATGCACCGACGCCACCGGTGGTTTTCCCGCGAAATGACGTCTGAGTCGAGAAACAAGCGCCGAAATTCCATACTGATGAGATATCACTACCCAGATCTGGGTACTGTTTCTGATTGGATGAAGCAAAATTTCATACCAATCAGAAGCACTACTCAGATCCGGGTCAACCTGGAATATCTGCGCTTGTTTCTCAGAAGTCATTTCGCGTGGAAAACACCGGTGGCTTCGCGAAATATATATATAGACTGTTTTCTCAGACAAGGGAAAACCCTTCTTGCGTAGATATAGCTTGAAAAGAAGGGAGAAAGTTGGAACCTTTCTTCCCTCTTCCCCCTCCCCCCTAAACTAAAAGAGCCTGAAACGAAGGCTAGGGATCAACAGGTGTCAATACCCAATTTTCCTTATAGTTTTGGAGGAAAGGAATGTTTACAGATAGAGCGGTTTTATCTGTAAGTAGGTGATGTTAGGAGCAGTTAATTTCTTACTTGGGTAGCAAGCTTCACAACTAAGCGGGCATTTCTTGTACATGAAGTTGGAATATATGTCACAGTAGCCAGCCTCAGTCCATTCAGAGCACTTTTTATGTTTGTCAATGCACTCAGCGTCTTTGTAACGAGGAGAACCTACGAAGATTACAGCGGGGTATACAGTAAGCATGGCTCGTCTCTCAGTGTCAAGAAAACTTTTGCACAACTGAGTAATAAAAGCCGGTACCAAATCATCATCATCCGGCAACGTCGGTCGGGATGCTCTGAACAATGATCTATTCCACCCATTCCGGTTCAACATCGCGTTCGCTGAATCCATCAAGATTATGTCTAGGAATGTCATTTTCCTTGCATTTTTGATCAGGGCCACTTGGTTTCCAAAGAAGAAGGGATTGAACGATCTAATCAGATTTTCCTCAAATATATGTGAACGTCTTAACTGATCTCACTCTTTTCAACTTCAATTTAAAATGTAGTAAATGTAAAATCATTAGGAGCGTAAGTAGCAGGTGCAAAAGAAATATTGAGCGTTAGATAAGCGATGGACATGAGGACATGCGCATTAGATACATGAGGGATAATTATAAACGCCGTATTCATAAATGGCGGCAGCACGGAACGGTCTGTTTTCGAATTCATAAAAACGAGGCTTGGCAAGAGCGGTGGCCGCGAGAGAGGATGACGTGCTTGTCCTCCCTCGCGCTCATCGCGTCTGCTACGCGGGCTAAAAGGAGTATAATATAGGAGTATTCTACTTTAAATGCCTTACTGATTTCATATATTCCATGTTCACAAATATTGCAGCTGCTGGGGCAGTTTGACATCATGTAAAGTGCCTTGATGTGACAGTGACCACGTGCCGCCCAGTATTTACAGAATCTGTGTTTGTCTGTACACGGTGGAGGCATTGCTAATGAAAAAGAAACATTGAACAAGTAGGGAACTTTAGCAACGACGACGGCGACGGCAAAGAGGACGTCAAAAAAGCAATAGGTTTATTACGCAAAATAACAACTTTGCACGTGCATCACGCTTTTTTTGTACATTTCTTTACCGTCCTTGCACGACTACGACGCGAAAATACCTAATTACAAGTTTTATGGAGGACGTAAACAAGCGACGACGAATCTCTTTTTCGCTCTCTGAACTTGAGTGCGGTCCTCAAGAAATCAACTCTAGGGAGATTCGCCTACACTTGCCATTTTCAGCAAATTGGAATGAACCCGACAAAGATTGAAAAAACGGGAATTCGTTTTAAAACTGACGTTTTCGTTGCAATTGCCGTCGTCGATGCTAAAGCTCCTAAATATCTGTATTGATATCTTTCATAGTAGCATACGAGTCGACGACGATTAAATTTCAAGTCCGCTATGTCCCTAGACTTCTTATCCTTTCCATTGGTTGAATCGCAATCGCACTCAGTATCGTACTGAAAATCTTATCTGAAGTCCTCCTGGGTATCTCCCTGCCCACATAATAATATATAAAAAAGCTAGGAAAGAGTCTTAGTTCGTGAAATCTCCACCCATTCTCCTGCTAGATCCCCGAAAAAAGTTCAGTTGCATAATATCTTACAGTAAACCTGGATGCCTTAAAGAATTTCATCTACAAATATGCACTCAGATTTTTGAAAACTATTTTTTCGTTGGAAGACATTGATAATTTCGTTTCCTGTCAAATTTCAGAATTACAATCTCAAACTCTGAGTCATTTGTTACCGCGGATTAAATAGACTCACACGACTGTGCTTCTAAATAAAATGACTTTAATTTGGAATGTGAGTGAATGTTACCCTCAGGCCGGTTGCAAATTCCACTTCCATCAAATATTGGAGGGTCTCGGGTTAAGCACCGGAATTTCGACAGTTATACCTGTTCTACGGTCAAAATAGATTCGATTCAGTCATATAAATTTTTCATTCCTTTTTAAAATAAATGTAAAGCAATGTTTGCCGACCAAAATTTACGTTTGAATTGACGGCAATAACACGTTCTTGTCCTTAACTTGGGAATTCAAATAAGGAATGAGCCAGCTGAAGCCCTACATATACCATATTACACCGGGCAGTTTTTTTTTTAATTAACCCTTTAAGCCCCAATATCCACATACAAATTCTCCGAACTGATCTCAATACATTTCCTTAAAGAATACGTTGAGAGAATTTCATAAAAAAATCAAGGCATTTTCTCTTTGGTGATCATTTTATTAATTCTCACAACCTTATCTCTTGACACTGTATGGATATTGTCAGGAGAAAATTGATGTTGGTCACTCTTGGGACTTAAAGGGTTAACAAAAACTCACCAGGATTCCTTTGGCATAGGTTACAGGTTCTCTTGCAGTTGAATGACATGTACCTCTTCTTTCTCTCTAATTCACAATGTCCTTGTTTTTTCATTTCTTCGCAGTCAATGTCATTATCTAAACACTTTTCTCCTAAGGAAACAATGCACGACTGTAAGGCTTAAGAGAAGTAAAAGGACTATTGAGTGCAGTCGCGAAACATCGCTGAAAGAAATTTAGGGGTTCAAGTTGATTACAATGCAAAACGCTGAGATCTTTTGCTGGAATTCAAGTATAACTCTGTTTTATATGAGGCGTTTTTCAGTCAAGACCTGGCTCAAGATCAGGGGTTTCGTTTAAGTGCAGCTTATTAGGTACAGTAGGATAACATAACACTGGACAAGACACGGCATTCAACTTGAAGTTCAATTCCGTTTTCTGGCCGTGAACGTTGACCTTTACCCGTCAAACGGACAGGACATTCACAGAGATTTNTTGGGACTTAAAGGGTTAACAAAAACTCACCAGGATTCCTTTGGCATAGGTTACAGGTTCTCTTGCAGTTGAATGACATGTACCTCTTCTTTCTCTCTAATTCACAATGTCCTTGTTTTTTCATTTCTTCGCAGTCAATGTCATTATCTAAACACTTTTCTCCTAAGGAAACAATGCACGACTGTAAGGCTTAAGAGAAGTAAAAGGACTATTGAGTGCAGTCGCGAAACATCGCTGAAAGAAATTTAGGGGTTCAAGTTGATTACAATGCAAAACGCTGAGATCTTTTGCTGGAATTCAAGTATAACTCTGTTTTATATGAGGCGTTTTTCAGTCAAGACCTGGCTCAAGATCAGGGGTTTCGTTTAAGTGCAGCTTATTAGGTACAGTAGGATAACATAACACTGGACAAGACACGGCATTCAACTTGAAGTTCAATTCCGTTTTCTGGCCGTGAACGTTGACCTTTACCCGTCAAACGGACAGGACATTCACAGAGATTTCTTCCCAAACCTCACGATTCGACATCACTGTACTCAGCCGATCCCAGGTATCAAGTCCTGAATCCCTAGCAATCACTTCAGGGTGGTAGCTTACGAGAATCTATACCCCTCTCTTAAGCCAACGTTTTACCCTATGTGAGAAGTAGGTGTTGATGTTAGCTTAGTGGAAGGGTAGGAGGGGAGTTTCCCAGAAACGTATAAGGATCCATGCAGGATCATCAGGGCGCCAGAGGATGAGAGATGAGAGATGATTCATTAAAGATCCTATGAAAATGAGTTTCAGAATCGGTTCATCCTACAAGAGCTAAAATCTCGTGTCTCGACTGAAGCTACACGCAAGCTACCGTAAAATTCCGAAAATAAGCCCCTCCAAATATAAGCCCCTCAAAATCGTAACGCAAAAACCCTCCGTTAAATCGCCCCTCCAAATATAAGCCCCCCGGGGGGCTTGTACTTGGAATTTGCCCTCGAATACAAAGTAAAACAAAGCAAAAATGGTAAATTTCCTTCCCACTACAAGCTAGCCCAATTGATTTTGAAACGCAAATTTCTCTCCGTACATAAGCCCCTCCGGATATAAGCCCCTCAAAAAGGGCCTTTGAAAAATATAAGCCCCGGGGCTTATTTTCGGAATTTTACGGTTCTTTAGGGGGGCCTTATTCTATAACTCTGACTTTCTATTGTAACAGCAATACTGAAATATCAAATAGGTGTAAATATTACCACGTACTTATGTACTCAGGATTGATGGAGGAACACAGATTACAGCTGCGCTTGCAGTACTCGCTCATAAATCGTTCTCTTGTGTTGGAGGAACAGTAACCTAGCCTGGACCAACCGAAGCACATCGGGAAGGTATCTACACAAGGAGGCCGCCTGGGCGGTCTTGGATCGCCCTCTGTTTGCTTAATTTTACCTTGGATCGAAACAAGACCACAACAATGTTAATTATGGGCTATTCCATTTAATATCCACACACTCCCTATGGATGAGATTTTCCGTGGGGGGCCTTGAAACTTATTTTTGAGGGGTGACTGTGTCGGCACTCTCTGATCTTTTTCTTTCTCTTGGGGGTAAAAGTCAACTTACATCATCCATAGGAGAGGGCGGGGGTGTGGCTATTAAAAAGAATGACTCCAACCTTTTGGGTCCATTAGCCAAGAGACTGAACCATGTGAAGGCCAAACAAGCCATCTCACCGGGGGAGGGGAAGGGGCTGGTATATTTTTAACGGTCAACATTTTCACTACTAACGATTGAAATTTCCACCTTTTGGGCTTTTTAAGGCTCAATTGTCAAACCCCTTTGAGACTCATAGGTTTATTTAAGAAGCTGAAAACTCGTTTAAGATGTACAAAAAAGTTATGTAACAAAAGTTTCAAGGTACGAATATGTATCACTTTTATGAAAATGAAACAAGACTAGACGTTTTGAAACCGATTAATTTTCCTTTTTTGTCTTATTTCGATTTTGGCCTCATACACTGTTAACATTCTACTTACGACAAAAGTTGCAGGTCATTGCGCACATATTCCTCATTCGTAGCCGTACATCCGGGTCCATAGATTTACAATATCCTTCTTCTTTCAACCTGGGACAGCGGGACGCAACCTTATCCTTGCAATCATGGGTTTCTAAGATGCAACGTAAGTTGTGATCAGAAAATTTCTCTTTTTTTTTAACACGATAACAGGACAGGACAATCTTCTTACGCAAGCGTTCTTTAGGGCTTCATCACGTCTGCGTGAGAGGCGGCAACAATCACCCCTTTTCGAAGTAGCCTTTAGCCTATTCTGAACATGATTCAGGTTCCAAAAGGGCAGGTGCAGCGATCGTGGTAACTAGTGAGAAAACGCGCGGTGCCATTGGAAAGACTGATTAAGCGCGTCTTACTGACCTTGCTAGTTCTTCTTTGAAAAATGGGGACGGCGCAAGGAGATACGAGCAAGAAAACAGAGCGAAAAGGATTATGAGAGACGGCGAGAGAACCCTATCTTACCAGCAACACAAAAAGCACAGCTTCTCCTACACGCCTGCATCATCATGTGCTTGTATCGATCAGTGGTGCAATATTTCCACCTCGCCCAAGCTCGGCATCGCGGATCTCGGTCCATGCATTTTTCTTCAGCTGAAAAGGGATAAAAATTACTATTTCTCATAAAATGAATAAAATTAAATAAACAAACCTTTATTAACCTTTGGCAGTATTACATAGCATAAGGGCTAGTGGGGCCGAGAAAGCAACTGAAACAAAAAATCCCAATTGGCCCGAGGCAAACCAGTTGGTTATTTACAAGTGTGACCGAGGATTTGAACTCGGGACTACCGAGAACAACTCCAGCATGCGATCAGGGAGGGGTCCCCAGAATGGAAAATCAAGCGTTCCAATCACTCAGCCACGTTGCCTCCTCCGTAAACTTACAGACACAAAGGTCAACAATGAAGGACGGAGTCCGTTAAAGGTAGAAATTACAGGTCAGGGGTTATTCAGAACTAACAACCTTCTACATATGGCGCAACATCGACTCCTTAAAGTGTTTGCTTATGATATAATACTCTTAACCACAATGACTTACTGCAAATTCGGCAGCTCTTTCTGCATTTGACGTTCATGACATCTGGTCTACTTTCACAGTAGCCATGTTTAGCCCACATTGCGCAAGCTTCCTTGTCATCTACACATTCACTCTCAGAATTATCTTCAACCTTGTTGGCTGTTAAAAGAAAACAACATGGAGTGCACAGTTTATCAAAGTACAGTTGCGTGTTACAAACATACTCTGATATAAAAGGTTATATATTAAAAAAAAGGTACTGCAGAACTCGGTAGATGGATAATCAAAATATAGTTGCAAAGCCCTCTAACAGCTAATTACCTGCGTCACAAGAGTTACAGCTTTTCTTGCAGTCCGTTAGCATGAAGTCACGGCGTGTTTTACAGAAACCTTTCTGAGCCCAGTAAGCGCAAGCCTTGCTTGTGTCGCGACAGTTTGGATCATCTGTCTTCTCCGGTTTTTCTGTGGAAATTTTAAACATATCCGGATCGATACTGACATGCTACTGCGTAATTGTCAGGCGATCATTTTAGATAATTTTAGAAAAGAAGAGGTAATGTAAAAGACCAAAGCTTGAGATTACAGTTCTAGCCAGTTTGAGCTATTCCGTTTCTTTATTTTACACTGTATGAATATGTGTCTCCTTGAGAATGGAAAATGCGAGGCGGATGGATAATAAACAATTACCTTGGTTTGAAGATTGGTCAATATACCCTCTAATGCTTACAAGACTCCTCGCGGGTCGAGCTGGGCCTTCATGGTTGCCACTGTTTGTCGACGATCGTTGCCGCTGACTCTTATCTAAAAGAGACAAGTCAAAGCAGGTCTTAGTTTTCTAAAACGAAACTAAAAAGGCCCACCGGGGTCTTTAAAAAACATCTTGAAGAAAAACCACTTTAGGGCTATTTTCAAGAGCTAAGAAGCTTCCAGAACTTCTAGCGCTAAGTAGAGTAGCGAACTATGGTATCCATTGTGTTTCATCCTGACAATGATGAGAAGGTATCGTGATGGGGACAAGGTCAGAAGGAAAAGGTAAAAAAAGGATGCTTCACACCATTAGTTTTAGCAAAATGAACCCAGGTTTGCTCATGATATCCATGTGAATCCTGTTTCAAAGCAGGTTATGAAATTTCGTAACAGTTTAAATTCTTACCGTCACATTTATACATTAGGTTGACCTGAAGAGCGTCAATTCTAGAGATCCTTCTATAGGGGCGCGCTCGTACTTTCTTCAGGGGCACGATGGTTTTTCTCCTGCTTGACCGTGAGAAGGCGTTTAACTTGTAATGCATGATACTGGAGTAATCATACGGGGTATTTAGGGAGTCCACAGCTTGCCATGTTTGTTTCATAAAGGCGTGCTCCCAACCTGATCGTTAAGGAGGAAATGACGGTAATGAATGGGTGGTGACTGAAAAAGCGTTAGCCCGTATTGTAAAGAAAGAAAAACTCACGGAACAACCGGCACAGTAATGTAACAATTCCCATATATGCTTTATTGACCAAGCGTGTGGTCAGGATGGCTGGATATTGCAGTTGGCCAAGGTACATTCTGCGTTTTAATTGACCGAGACTAAGTCGAAGTCAATAAAAGTGCAAAGAGGAACGAGGCTAATATACAGCCATCTTGAACGAAAAAGCTTAATCAATAGAAGATTTATCATATGGCGAAAAGAGAACTTTTTCTCGCGGGACCAACGCGGAAAATCCTGCGATGGGTCCATCTTGCCAGCTATGTAGTCAATCAGAGCACAGGAATCGCTTCATCTTGCAAGCTCGCGGATTCTGTTATGTAACGAAAGCAGCTTTCTTAACTAAGGTGGCCCTTTTCCACCCAAGACTGGCTAGGTTTTTAGCGAGACACGTATTTCTAGTACTTACCTTTGTTTACGTTTTTCCAAACTATCCTCACGTACTTGTCTCTGTCTGGCCTGCTATGTTCATGCCAAAATCCAATCACGTGACCTATTTCATGAACCATCACGTTATGATACTCGCAGCCAAATCCAACGGAGACTTCCCTACGTCCACTGCGCGCCTTGCCCACTGTGCTGTAACAGCTGAACACAATTATAAGGAGAGTATAATAAGAGGGTTGTAGACGGACGCATGCCGATCAACTGAACAAGAAATAGCGCGATTAATGTTTGGAAAGTAATTTACATGCAGTCGAACCTAATACCTCTCTTATAGGCGACCATGCACCTGCCTTTTAAAAGCGACATAAGTTACTGCTTAATGCAATCTTCCGGTCATCGTTGAAACCTCTATAGACCACCTTTCCAAAACACCAGCTTTTTCCCGTGAAAGTACTCTTGTTGGCCACGTATCGAAAGCTACCGCGAGACTACATTTGTCTGATTATTTTCTGTCTTATCCCCATGTTAAACGTATGTAACACGCCACTCAGAGTTTAACCCTTTCGCTTCCAAATTTAGCCAAAAGCGAATTTCGACCAAATTTCGAAATCTCAACTTGTTAAATTTTGAAAAACAAATTAAATAGCACTATGTGAAAGTACTGGCAGAGAGCTTTCAGTTGAATGTTCATATCATAGGATACGGTCCGAAGACTCATTTAGAGTCACCTTACAAAACTCCATCAAGCACTCTGGCAGTGAAAGGGTTAAGAGGAACTATTATTAGTGGATAACATGGCACTCAGCAATTGTATTGTACCTTAAGAGTGCGGGCATGCAATACGTTCTCTGCTAAACAGCAGAACTGTCAGACCAAGTTACAGTCACAGCTGTGCTCGCTTGGGTGGTCACACACTTACGGTAAACTCAGAAAAAAACAGACAAACAAACAAAAACACGGAGCTTCGCCGAAAACTAACAACAACTAAAAACGAACTCACGTATTATGGAGACTTTTTTTCAAAGAAAAGGAATGACCATATTTCTGCGTTTTTTCGCAGGAGTTGATAATGATCAATTAACCAATGAATAATTGCGCCAATAAACTTACTGAGTCCCTCTGAAAAATGTGACGTAATCCATTTCGCTTTCATCTTTTCTTGGTACAAACTTGAGGCAGGTTTTAGACTCCCAGTCGTCCATAGCTAATCTAACAATCCTCTGAAGTTCAGGCATATTTTCTGCAAGAAGATACCACTAGATTAAGCAACCAGCAAGTCAGACTTACTGCTGTAGGGATTTTATCACGAGTGAGGGGTTATTTTGTTCAAGTCCACTGGGTGATAAGGTACCAGAGAAGTTCAGTGACACGGGCCAAAGAGGAGGGAGCATGGTACTCAAGTGACTGTTACTGTGACTTAAACTAAAGGGCATCATCGTTTTAACTAAGTCATTCCCCAGTTTGACGACCAAAAACGAAAGACTAGTGATAACAAAACGCTAAACTCTATTTTCGTCGTAGTCCGAACAGGGCCTAATTCAAGTTTTTCTAAATTACCTAAGCTGCAGTCAAACACGTAAGGAATAATTCCATTGTCCCATAGTAAGGTTTTCTCTCTGGTAGCAGCAGGTGCTTTAGGCGGGATAGAAAGGTTGTCTTGGCTGCTTGGTAAGTCAAGAAGTGCTTCCTGGTGATACGTTAGTTTCATGTCACCGTACAACCAGAAATCTGGCATCATCCTTGGGCTGGAATTTTCCTCTGTTAATGAAAATAAAAATATAAGCGTGTCATTTTTTTGCCAGGAATAGTTCAGCAACACTGAAAACACCAATTATAAAGACCCATCGGCGCTAGGAAATATTTTATGTACTTTCCGAATATAATTAACGGATTACAATTGCGGACCCTGATTGGAACACCGTACATGTACCTATACTGCCCCATACCCAGACGTCTCTCTCTCTCGATGAAAATTTGGGCGTAAAGGATGGCGGGAAGGAGAAAACGGGCGAGACTCCCGTCTTTACCCTTACCATGGATCGTTGCGCTTCGTAACCAGTCATTCGCGTTTTGCGGTCGCCTCTATGCGAAACCATGCATGGGAAAAACGAAGCGCCTGAAGTGGAGGCTGGTACCTATAGGTTTTACGGTAGGTTTTTACAAAGCTTAACAGTCGTCCTGCCTCGGGCGGGCTCGTTGAATTTTCGTCAACTTATAGGATTTTTTAACACGTGACTGAGGCAATGCAAGATTTTGGTTTCTGTATGCAGTCGCTTGTTGTTTTTGCTTTTAATCTAACTTGTAAGCATTTAGTAATGAAAATATAGCCACTTTGACTTGACGTGGTAGTTACCCACAGTTTTCAGTATGAAAGTACATTTCCCATTAAATCTTTATTTTTTAAAGACGAGGAAGTTAATTGTAACATGCTATTCCCTAGTCTTCAAATTTTGAATTCATAACAAAGAGGACGTCCGGCCAGGCTACTTAGCCGAAAATGAAGATGGGAGGGAACTCAGTGGTAGAAAGGTGTCCGAATTTACGAATATTTTGTAACAGCTCGCCATACGTTTTACATAAAAATCCAACAGAAGGCATTAAGAGCTTTAGAAGCACTAAGAAAGAGTGGAGACTTAGTTTTCAAGGTCATTGCATTGCCTCTTTTCTGTAGCCAGCCCCGGTAGCATACCTTCGTCATCGTTGTCCCTTGGGATCTCGGCGTTTGCTAGAGAAACAAAAGCTGACACTACGAGAATCCAAACCTCAGGAGAAAGTATCATTCTATCCTACAAAAGACAGGAAAAAAGGTTAAGGTTTCTGGACCTTGTAGTCGGTGAACTATACAAACGCATCTCCCATCAAGAGTTATAGCCACTTTGAACATGGCTACTACCTCTAACAATAAACTCTGGTTTTCAAGTAACAGTTAGGAAGGACTGACAGCCATTTACGCAGTGAAATCCAAAATTGTTAGAAAATGCATGCAGGAAAGTAACAATCAGTAACCAATTTGTATGACTTCATATCAGAATTAATTCATTCGACAAACGACAGGACAACATATTGCTTTCTTTGTTTGCAATTATTTAGAATCTAAAATGACGGGACACTCTCTAAATGTTTTGAAACTGTCGACCGAGAGCGGTTCCTTTTTAGCCATCGAAGCGAGTACGAGAGTCATTTACCAGCAAGCTGCATTGATGATCAGAGGTCCATATCTTACAAGACAACTAAGCAATGCGCTGACTAACATTTTGCCTCATTTTCTCCATCGTTGGCCGTTCGTCAGTTAAGGCCACGATTATAGCAGTAATTACACTCAGTGTACCTAAAAGAATTATGCAAAACCGGTATACCTATAGTTGATCACCTGAGATATGTACTAACTTTGACGGGCCGTAACAACGGAATGAGCATGAAGTATAGTCACATTCATTGCTTTGGATATGGACTGATAATATACGTGCACACGAAAAGCGTCTTTACCAAAGGCAAATAGATATTTCTTAATCAATAAATACCTCTCAGTTGACCTCTTCGATGATGCTGAGGCTTAAAGCAAAAGCCTTGGAAAATTGGACCAAACGGTGGTGACAGAATAATGTGGTACAACGGTTCATTCAGTTCTTGCAAGAAAAGCTGTTACATTTTTTATGCACTTGCTGCGTGTTTTCCAAAGACCACACAAATAGAAAACAAACACTTCTCAACAGAACTGAGCTGATTTGTTCCCACAGAAACACAAGCACGCCATTAAAGAGCCATTACTGACAAGCTTCATTAAAGAGGTAGCAAATAACTACGGTGCATTGTATTTTAATGAATATTCTCTGTTTGACTCGAAATTAACTTTGACTTGGCAATAAGATATTAGTATAGTTTTCAATGAAAAGGCCCGTCATGAAACATGACCAGAATCATTACTGTTTAAAATCGTCAACTGAACTGATCTGCCAAAAGTAACTAACCACCAAAGTAATCGTTGTTATCTCCGTGTCGTAGCTGGCGATAATACGATACAGATCGAGATAACTGCAATGTCTTTATTCACTAAATTCTGCCAATGTATTCTATAAATGCAATAAAAAACAGGTGTTAATCACAAAAAGCCGCGTCAACACCGTGATTTATTCATATTATTTTCAGTTCGACAATGTAATTACAACCTTACGTTCAATGGCTTCATTGTCTTTCATAGAGAGCCTTTATTCTGCAATAATTGACCGGCAAAAATGGAACGTCTTTAAGTGATGAGCTGGTAAACATTTTTATAGGTTTTGAAGGTGCTATCGTGTTAATTAAAATTTGACCGAGTAACTATTTCATTACAGTCTTCTTATCCAAGAGCAGAAACTCTGTTTCTTCTGCTTCTGCTAGAAGGTCCAAGAGAAGGGTTCGTTCTTTTGGGAATTCTTGGGTTCAAATACTACCCCGAAGGGTTTCATCATCGATCCTTAGGTTCCTTCGACGTGGAAGAATAAAAAAAGAAAGAAACACAGAAACACAGACAAAAAGGATAAAGGAAAGAAAAAAAAGGGACTAAGCGACTTCCGGTGTGTACAATTTGTCGCTCTGCGATTGGTCGAGACGCTTTTAACTGACGGAAAATAGGGAGCTAAAGCAGCGACGTTTTTGAGCGACGCACGTCAACCGGAGGTGGACTTTTTGCATTCTTGGGCTATGCTCTTGAACAAATTTTTGGGTAAATCGTCTCAATAAGAGTTAAGACACTTAAAATACAAATTTGGTACCGTCAAGGCATATTGAAAGAGAAAAAGGTTAACTTACGGTTAACGTGCGTTGCTCAAAAACCTCGCTGCTTAAGGGACGGACCGTTAGAAAACTTATGGGGGGCGGGCGAAGTACAAATTAAATATTCGCGCAAGGGGAAATTAAATGAAAAAAATTCATGCACGGCAATTAACCCTAAAAAAATATTCATGCTGCGGCCTAAAAAAAATTCATACAAGCAATTTGATAGCGAAAAAAAATTCCTGCGGCTCGAAAACTCTTCCCCCGCTCCCCCATAACTTTTCTAATGGTCCGTCCCTAAACTCCCAGATATCTGCGCCAACATTTTGTCACTGTCGTCAGTCTGTGTCGTCGCGTTGTTTTTGGTAAATCTGCTTATTCTCTGAGAATCTGAGGCCTTAAATACTAAAATACTTCAAGGCTCAGCTGTTAAAACAAGCGCAAGTGCACATGTTTAGTTATTTTAAGATCCTCTTCTAATTTTTAATTTTGATGTGTTTTTCTTGGTTAACGACGGAATCAGATTACAATAGGACAAAGGTCTATTGACTCTCCAAAACATTTCTTTAACCTTTTCACCAAGACTAGACCAATAATTTCTTGAGGTATGGTAATTTTCGGATTAATTTACTGAAATTTGTTTTCCTTTGAAATCCCCAGTTTTGAGCAAAAAGAGAAAGAAGAAAAGACTGAAAATAACAAAGAACCAAACCTATTAGTGTTTGTACTACGATTTTAAATATACTTCTATACAATTCAGTAGCCTGATAGAGACTGTCTTGGATTTTGTTTTTCTAACACTTCACAAACTACGAAAGCCGTGCTGCTTGGAGTTTTGAACGAATTTTTTTGCTCCTAGCATAAGACTTTCAGGCTGTACAAATATACAATATATTTCATTTAGCTACATGATTAGAACTGTTGCCTAACTTAGCGATAAGTTGTCAGGAGAGAGCGAACGCCGTAAAATCAGGATTAAACTTTAAAAAAGAAAAGAAAAATATTTTGCCTCTGCTTTCTCAGACATCTGTTTATTTTTAGGACTTTTAGATTCAAGTTCATCTTTCAATATGAGGTGAATTGCGTACCACTGAATGACCTTTGTTTTGACTAAAAGCAAACGAGCCAAATAACTTGCATGCATGGAAGAGAAATAAGTTCTTCAGCTCCAGTACGCTTTTCATATTCCGAGAAGCCAACTTCTACAGAATAAACCCAAAAAGAATACAAGGCATCACAAAAATGGAAACAAAAACTCTTCGTTGGAGATTTAAATCCAAAATAAACGCTCTGCGGTAAAGGCATTTCTTATTAAGTTATTTGTATGTTTTAAAGTTTATGAAGATACAAGAATCCTCGGAAGACAATTTTGTCCTTTAGTACATCCACTTTGAAATCACTGGCTATCCCTGCAATCTGATTGGCTCTCAGCAGTGTGATTTATTCCTAAATCGCACCATTTTGTGCTCTAAATCGCTTCTGTTCCAAATCGCGTCATTCATGTTCTAAATCGCATCATTTCTGTTTTAAATCGCACCATTTTTGTTCTATATCGCATCATTTCTGTTGCGAATAAAAAATGAGATGTAAAAACATTTTTGTTTCGGCTTTTTAACAAACCGGCTGCTCGATCAATAAAATATTAGTACTGACTAAATTCTGCGATTTCAAAATGGATGTAATAAAGTGGTAATTGAACTTCGTGTCGTGCAATTTTGGTCTGAAATCATACTTGTGATTTCAAATCGAACTCGCGCTGCGCGCTCGTTCGATTTTGAAATCACACGTATGATTTCAGACCAAATTGCACTCCACTCAGTTCAATTACCATTATTAACGTTCGGTCATGAAGGATTAAAATTATTTTCGAGTTACAGTTCCTTAATTAATTCCAATATGTCGCTAAAGTTAGTTTTAGGCCTGTTTACGAAGACGTGTGAGCTGAAAAGAAATTTTCGGCACCTACCGCAGTTGACGGTTTTTTGTCCAACGACACGAGTAAGTTCAGGTTTCTTGTTTCTCTGTGGTAACAAAAGCTGACATGGGTTTATTATATGTGCAAAAATGCACTTGGTGTAGGTTACGGATTTAGCGAATTAAATTTGCCTTACAAAACCTGACACCAAATCCTCAATGATTAGTCAGTCTGCTAAAGTCTTGTTAAGCATTGTTTTCAAGTGCTTTCATTCATCAGGTTCCAGATATAAAGTTAACGATTTGTTTGCGGAATGAACCTTTCAGAAAAATCTTTAAGATCTGCACGCTTCGTCTGTGCGTTGATTAACAGAAAATGTTCCTTGCGATAAATGAGCCGAGGTGTAACACAGTAATATAAGTTTACGGACGAAATATGTTCGCCTTCTCTCGATTTTCGAGGAGTCTCCGGAGACAGAAAATCCAATATTCTTTCTTCACCATTCACTAAAGACACCTTTTCAGTGGTAGTTCTTTAGCTGGTACAGCTTGGTACTTTAAGGTCGACGGCTTTCACAAAGTGCTATATATTTTGTTTTCATTATCACGTTAATGAAGAGACTTTTAATTTAAGTAAAAAATCTCTCTTCCTTGTCTTTTAATTAATTGGTTACCAGCCCAAGGGAATGAAAGGTTTTCCTTCAGTAATATAATTGTCCCCATCGTCAAGTGGGTATTAACCCTTTCAAACTCCTTACGATTCCAACTTGTACAATTAGTGGATAAAAACCCTAAGGAGTTATCATATGGCCTCTTTATTATAGCAAGGAATATTACAAAGGGAAATTTGTAGATTTATTATTTATTCTTTACTTTTTTTTTGAGGGGGGGAGGGGCGAATTCTTTCTTTGGTCACTATAATAGGAGTGAAGCTGGGTTAAATCTGCGCTGAACCGTACGTGTTGGCTGTTTAATCCTCTCAATGAATGTTAATCAAAGATCAAAAGAGCATGCTAAAAGCAAAATCAAATCACGCGATGCCCCAATATTACCAATGCATTTGGAAAACAGCAATACGAGAAACACAGAGCTCACTCGTCCTTGCCGTGATCAAAAGTGTGATTCTTTCTAAAACAGGAGATACGTCTTGTTTGTTACTGTTTAAACGTAACCCTAAAGAGTTATTCTCCAAGTTCAAGCTGAGGTCTCGTTGAGATAGCACCTCTTGAAAGTTTTATGTCAGATGCTCTTAAATGTGAGACAAAAATAACTTCAAAGTCCTGAATGTTGGCCACAACATTTGGGATAATTTTAGACTTAAGTACATGAATTGTAAAGTGATTATAATATTTTTTTCCGGATTTTAGAAAACAAACTCTGAGACACGTCGTGTTTTCGCCTGCATTTTTTTCAAGTTAATAGCAAATTGACCTCTTTCTTTTTTTTTTAAGTAAAAAAGAAACATTTGGAAACCTTCTTATTTTACCTTGTTTACTGGAGGGCCTCAAAAATCTTCAATCAATTGGTTAGATTGGTTTTTCTTAATTTTTTTAATTGTAGAAGGACATGGAAACTATTGAGTAGTGCCTGTATAACTCATAAGAGTCGTGAACGTTTTTACAAAATGTCTTTCATCGAAGTTCGAATATCATAATCATATCAGTGATATTATTTCAGGTAGACTGCAAAACAAACCGTATTTTGTTCCTAGATTGACGGTCTGGTGTAAGGGTGAAAACGGAGAGTAGGACTGGAGAGAGACGCGCGAAATATCACGCCGGCGCAAAACGGATTTTGAGAAAAAGAAAACTATTTTGCAATCTATATTTCAGGATACAGCACCGTCAAGCTCGTTTCCAGGGCCCCCTTCCTTCGTGGGACGACTGGAGAATTGGCAATCAATGTTGTGGACTGTGTTACATTCCTTCAAACAGAATTTGTCATCTTCCGAAATGTACTTTTTCTGTTCTTAATGCTATGTTTTAAGTAGACGTTTGGCTATTTCTTCTTTGCAAAGCGTGTGAAAACTTCCCCCATTTTTTCTAACTAACCTAACGCAAAACTCGTCCCCGGGGCTTCCGGGCTGCCGTCCGATTTTCTCGCCATATCCTTTATTATATATTGACGCCATATTACCGGATATCGCAAACGCCTCCTAAATTTGGTCAGCGCCATTCGGGGGATTTGAGCCCCAGTCAGAAACAGAGAAATATTTTGATTGAATAATAAAGCATTTTATATACAATCACTAGGAAATGACTCATTTCAGGACATCAAATAGCGAGCTTAAGCATAAGACTTTTTTGAGCGACTCACGTCAACCGGAAGAAAGAAAACCTTATGTACCAAACATCCATTAATGTGGAATTCTGCTGATCATTTGAAACAAAGAAAATGTCAAATTGAGACCGAAAATTTGTAGAAAGACTTGAGGCGTAACCTCGTTTTCAGGGTCCCTCCTACTCGCACCTGGGAACGAGGTTGGAAATTGAATAGGAGCACCTCTCCAGATTCAGACAATGAAACATTCGCCCTAGATGCTAGTTCGAGCATGACCGGCGCGCAGAGGTTTCTTTGTGGCATGGCTTTTAGCATTTGCGAAGTACAGTCGTCCGCGTGGCTTGTCGAACGACTTCGCAAATGCTAAAAGCCATGCCAGAAAGAAACCTCTGCTCCCCGGGTAGTTTGAGCATTCATGGTACACGGGAACACTTTTCATTACATGATGTGATATTCATAATCCTTGGTAACTAGCAACTAAATAAACGTTCCCATTTGGTAAAATAAATACACTAATATAAATCCAAGCAAAAGCACGCCAAATAGAAGTCACGCGACCAAAAACGAGGGAAAAATCTGATGTACCACCCACTCCTTTGCGCTTCTGCTACGCTTTCCGAAACTAATGTAAGAAACAGGGGGCATCTGCAAGCAGAGCATAACCCTGTTCCGAAGGCTTAACATTCTGTGGACATTCAGTTAAAAAATTTACGTTAAGAAAGGGGGCACCATGTTCCCTTTGACCCTCGCTAAATCTATGCATCGTAGTTTACTATTTTAGCCAATGTAAAATCTCTTCTATTAGACAAAATTTAGAGCATTAGAGTTCCCCAGCTATCTTATTAAGCCCGAATTCTTTTCTTTTACGATAAGCCCACAAAAAAGTCTGGATTATTTTTTCAACCTTTAATGTTATGTTTCAACTTTCTTTAACCTATAAGGCTTCGTATAAGACGTGCCTTGCGCGCGGAAACTACTACAGTAGTTTTCATGGTGCGAAAAGATATCGGGACTTACAAGATACTGGGTCACTTGGGCTCCAAGAAAATTTTAACACACCTAACCGCATAGTCGCATAATTATCCATACTTCAGATCCACGTTTCAAAACCATTCTTCAGGGCAAAAACACGCATCAATCTCTTTTTCTGGTCAATGCAAAGGGGTTGTCAAAGATCATTTTAACCATGAGGCTCTCCTAATTTACGAATACTACTTTTCTCCAATTCTAAGAAATCTGATTTCTTGTTTTATAGCGATGCTTCAGGTCCTACTCTTAAACATACAGTTGAACGTGAAGATGAAATAATCAGCATGTCACGAGCGTGGAACAACGAAAAAAACCCCGAGTTCCGTACAGGATTCGAACCTATGACCTCCCAAACACCGTGCGAGCGCTCTATCCACTGAGCTACGGAGAACTCATGGAGAGCGTGGCCATATATACTAGGTTCATAATCCTGTCGGGGGACTCAGATTTTTCTCTGTCCCACGCTCGTGACATGCCGATTATTTCATCCTCACATTTGTTCACCGAGCTTAAAATTTACCATCTTTCATTCTTTCACCATACAGTTCTGAACCTCTCTACAACGACCACTTTGGGGACTCTTAAGAAAGTGTAGTGAGGCCGAAACAATATTGCGGAATGTATGGACTGTCCGCGAAAAAAAAAAAAGGCCATTGTAGAGAGGTGCCCGTTACCGGAGGTTCCACTTTTTTGCATTACCATTCTCTCGGGTCTAACCGCATATCCGCCGGTACGAAATTCGGTAAATCAGTTTACCAAAAATTCTTGAAGCCACTCCCCTTGCACGGAAAAGCCGACAAAATAACAGAAGGAAAGTCCATTCTACGGACACCGGTAAGTGTTAATGAGATGAGCACGAACATCTTTCTTAAAAGGTTGGGCGAGTGCAACCCCTGGGGAAACGTTCGCAGGGGAACCGGAGCACTGAACAGGTATTATAAGGAATTCAGTGTCGGGGTGTAATTGAAAGCGCGATTGGGTGGGAAAAATAGCCTAGGTTGGGTTATAAGAGCCCGGGGGGACTCCCATATAAAAGTAATGGGGATGCTCGTCGTCTCGCTTAGGGATGTAAATTACAGATTATGGTCTCAGAGTGTTTGGAACGGAAAGTCACTATATTTGCCAATCCAGGTATCACTTCGGCCTGTGCATAAAGAAGGTTTATTACAAAAAAAATGCCGTGATGTCTGTCTACATTGGTCTCCCTTAGGGGAATAATCTCAATTTTCCGACGAGTATCCCCGTCACTTTTATGAGGGAGTTCCCCGTGTCTAAGAGTCCGACAGCAAACTGAACGTCAGGTTGGTCCAGTGTAAGTTACGGGATTCTTATTTAAATCAACAATAAGTAAAATTAAGGGTCGTGCCACCCCCTGTTTACACCATAGGCAGGCAGTTTTGTGTACACCCTAATAGCATGATAGTACTTGGCGCCAAATGTTTTAAAACCCGTTATTGCAGCTTTTATGTTTTTAAAGGCAAAACATTTCCGGCCACAGTTGTGAGAATTGCTTTCTCGGTTGGAAGCGAGTGTTTACTCAGAGAGCGTGTAGGGTGAAGATTAGCTTTGAATGGGTCACCGCAAGTAATAATGCATTTACAAGGAAAGACATTGAGTAGGGCGAACACCAATTTTGATTTGCACCGCGTTCTGCATCGGCTCTTAACAATGTTTGTAACTATAGATTGCGTGCAAGCGTCACTGCACGTGGTCATATAAAATTTAGCTCAGCTCAAAAGCCATATTATATGGTATCAACATTTTAACTATATTGGATTTCTTCCCAGTTGTCCGAAAACGGATCTTGTGACTTTATTCTTAAGAAAAATGAGAAGAATTCAAACTGAGCCTTATTCCTATTAAAAAACGGTAAGAAAGACAACCTACTATCTGCGGCGTTAATTGCCTCAAGCGCGTAACATGTATGGGAGCAGTTTATTATTGTATTCAAAGAATATGTCCTCCTTTATTGAATAATTTATCTCGGCAATCATGTTTTCGCGGAAATCAGAAGGAGTTTTTCTGCATGGCTCAAGCTAAAAAAGGTTTCGGGACGAAAGAATAATCTTTCGAAATCTTCTCTCACTTAAGCTTATTACTTCCAAAAGTAGAAGAAGTTAATAACAGTGGAAAATATTTCTTTCAGACAGTAACTAAATGAGCCGTTGTTTACCCCTGCAGGAAAATAAATTTTGGCTGGGCTTCAGGAGGCCAGTTTTTGTGAAAGAATAGGACATTAAAGAGGGCATCCTCAAGGAATGATCATTTTTGGAATTCAAGCTACTTACTTACGTGTATAAATGAATAATGCAATTTGAAATTCAATCTAGCGCACAGTAGCAATACTCCGATCCGGCCAGTCAAAACAAAATGCACCTGAGCTACATCTACGTACATCTGCATCATTCTGTTTACGGGCGCGCGCTGTTGTATCTGATCTAGGACACCTATGTTGAGTGACATCTGCCCGGTTCTAAATTCCTTCTGACTTCAGTTCTGTTATATGTTACGTAATTAGAAAAGTCATTACAGATGATGATAGCGTACACTCATATTCCTCCCTTATAGCTGCACAGGAAATCCCCAAATTTTGACTGATTTGATATCAACATACATTCTGAATTCATCTGTATATATGAAGCCAGCGCACATTAACGGTACTAGTAGTAGTGAGAACACAAACAAACTTTCAATAAACTTTTCCAGACGAAAGCACCGTAGCGACTATCGTCTAAGTAATCAGAGAGGTGAACTGTATTCAAACATTCTAAATTGCGCGCGCTTGCAGCTTCGCTATTTCGACACTGCATGCGCGCATGTCAACACTAACTTTGCTAACATCCATAAAAATGCAAAAAAATGCAATAAATAAATATTGCAAAACATACATACCAGCGCTACTTTCAAATGAGGAAACCGTCCGGGATGGGTACAGGTATGTAATAACTGGAGCTAAAGGAGTTCTCCGATTGACTTACTATTATGTTATTCAATTCCAAAGTGAAAAACAATGCTTTTGTTTTACCTACTTAGGTTAAAGGTTAAACAAGACTGACCAAAGGCAGGTTTAAGTTTCAAACCACAGATATATTTAAACTATCAGAACTAGGTGTTTGACGAGTGTATATATCATTCCGTTCTTCTCTGCACTTGTTCCGGAATTTTTTTGAAGATTTTCAACGAAATGTTCCAAGCGTGTTACGATAGTGACGTTACTTCTACCACATAATTATAAACTCGCAGCAAAGCTGGATTCGCTAACTTGGCTGCCAAAACCGCAAGAGCCTATGCGATATCCACCATATCTACTTTTTTAAAGCCGGATATTTTGCCTACTTCACATTCCGGGGGGGGGGAGGATTCTCTATAATGGCCTTTACAGGGAGGCTCCACCCAAAACGGGTTTCTTTTTTGGGCTTCAGGTATATGAAAGGGAAGAAATTTCTTTAGTTAGAGTGTAAGCAAGGGTAGGAAAATCCAATTTTCATTTCGATAAATAAAGGGGACCAAAAAAGGGCTAACCGATGAATTTTATGGATAGGAAAGAGACAATAAAACTCCATGGCTAAGTGGTTAATTCATGTTACAAAGACGGTGCGTTTAAAGCTTGCCCATTTCCCGGATCTTGCGTAATTTGTGCACCCCTCGATCGAGTATCGGTCGGCACTATTGGCCGATATGTCGGTCGACGTGTCGGCCGAGTATCGGTCGACTGTCCATATCTCTCCTGGGTTTTCTCCTCGTCTACTTTTTGCGCCTGCCACACAGGCTAGTGCATTTACAGCAGTTAAAAGGGGTACAAAGTTCTAAACTACGTATGTGAAAAGGTTCTCATTTGTCAATAGACGGCATACGAAAGGGGTACCTTTTCTATCTAAAAATGCCATATAAAAGGTTATATTAGGGGTTGGGCCTCGGGCGGAGCCTCCCCGCATTAAACTTTGTTGAGAACCCCCTGGGCTTGGACATCAAAACTGTAGCAGCCCTTTGCGATATCTACGATGTCTACTTTTTAAAGCCGGATATTTTGCTTCCCTCAGATAAGCTTATTTTTAAGCGATGTTCAAGAAATCTGCTTGTGATCTTGAGCTTCTTTATACCAAAAGTAGAACAGCCATGTATAAATCATATAAATTTAGATCTGATTGACTCGACGCCGCTTTACAATAAAATTACTTAACACAAGAGAGCGAGGACAAAAAATGCAAAAATGCGACAAAAATGGAAACTTTCCAATTCTTCGACGAAACAATGAGGTGTAAATTAGGTCGGCTATGCGTTGATATGATACGTTGAAGACAACTTCAGCAAAAATTAAAACTGACATGTTTCGCGGATAACCTGATCAGACTTTTGCGGTTGATTTTTTCGACATGCCGGAAACGATTTTTCAAACCGACAGAGAAAAAATGGTATGTAACATAATGTAATATAATGTAATAGATATCGATTTTTTAGAAAGCCAATCCTCCTTCCCTACGCGCTGAGGATTCTCTCTTGCACGCCTTTTAGCATTTCCGAAGTCGTTCGCGTGGCTTGTCAGTCACGTAGTTGTTTGTAAAGAAACCTCTACTCGCAGGGCACAATCCTCCCTGTTTTCATTCATGCCTTGCTTTTATTAAAACAGGTGTAAAATCTTTAAACTAAAGAAACTTATTTAAACTGTTTCGGGACTTTCATACTGTTACCGAAGGGAATAAAAATCTACAACTCGAAGTTGGGGAAGAGTCTGTCTTCAATACAACGGAAACATTGCGGTATCCTGACAGCTGCCTCAGTGTACTTGCACTTCACATGCACGTTCTATATGCACGTGCACACCCACATGCTGACGGCGCATGGAGGTTGTGTAATTACCGCTGAAACTGAATTAAAAGGTTGATTCTGCTGATAAAAAGCGCGGGAAAATATTCCTAGGGAACCTTACGGGTAAAACTACTGAATTTCCTCTGAACGGAGAGCATCCCCGTCATTTTCATGTGGGGTCATTCCTCGGGGGGAATATATAGAGCCCCATACTTGAGTTAGATTAATTCGAATTCCCTCTAAAACAAACAAATTGACGTCTCCACTGTCTAAGGGCTAACTGTGAAGTGAAGTTTGGAGCCGTTGATTGGCTGGTCGACGGAAGCTAAAGGTCCACCATGAAGCCATCATGAAGTTATGTAAGCTACAAGGGGAAACGCGAGTCACTGAAGTGTACTTTAATAGTGAGAATCAGCAGGCCCAGGATTTGATTACCCACAGACGAAGGTTTTGTTGTAAACATCATCGAATCCTTATGCTATCATATAACACTAGGGTCAAACGACGGCCGCTAATTATAAAAAGTTCACTACACTGCATATCTCCCTTCGGGCTCCCTCGGGAAAAGAATTGCTTTTAATAGGTAAGTTAAGCTACATAATGTCAATGGCGGCGAAAGGGACAATTTTTGTCTTAAATAGAATCAGGGCTTCATGGCCTCAACGGCAAAGGGGCTACCCAAACTTGCGTTCAGTGCCCTTCTTCCCTGGAATTTGGCGGGGGATTTGGCGTGGGATAGCGTATTGTTTTTGAGGTGCTCCATGATCTTTAAATAGGCTATGCTTTTTGGTACTATGATCCTTTAAATTGGATTTATTCATTTAAAGAACCTAAACCAGTTCAGGTATCAACAAAACAAGCTTAAAAAAGAGGATAGTTTTCGCCGTGTGCAGATGCTCTTCTTGAAGAGTGTAATACGAATGCGTCATTTTTGTTTTTAATAAAAAGGATATCTATCTTAGACTATGTATCTCTTAACATAAGGGATTCAGTATTTAAAACCAAATTATAAAAACGCGTTTTCGCACTGTTGCATTTTCTGGTGTCAATGGACCGGCTAAGAATGGCCCGTGTATAAAAAAAGGTGGAGTACAGAGGGAAAAAGGCAGCTTCCGCCCCCCCCCCCCCTACCGAAGAGAGGCTAAAGTAATAGATGATTATTTAACAACCCGGGGGGTACTTGGGTGAATGTTTGCTGAGTTTGTGCCGCTGGCCTCTCAGAGCCCCTACCCCATTATAGTCTATTTTTTGGCCAGTTATAGACTCCATCTTAGTCACTTTTTGAAAAATGTAATTTTCGCGATCCCAACTTCAGGAGCCGATGTCCCAACTTAGTCACTTTATATTTATGCATCTACCTTATCAATGTGGTTTCAAGCGGCGGAATGTAACTGCGGTCAATGCGAGCTTATTGTTAAATTTAATAAACAACTACTTTCCGATTTTTTAACCGAGAATCTTCCCATTTTGAATCACTACTTACCCCCAAAATCCGAAAATTTGCGACCCCATTCTAGTAAATCTATTGAAAATGCGACCCCATTATAGTCACTCCAGTCGTGAAAATGCGACCCCATCCTGCGGCACATCCCTATTATAGCCTCTTGTAAGGGAGTACCCCCCCCCGGGATTTAACAGCAGTAAAATAATTTGTGCCGTATGCTCAATCAAATTTTTAGTGAAATAATTTTTGGTCCAGGGTATTTTTGGATTTTGATGGAAGCCCTGGCGATTTTTTTGGATCCGGAGTATGCCCCGGCCCTGGGACTTGTTCGCAGACAACCAGAACTGTGTGACGCCGTAATTTGAAAGAAAAAAAAAACCGCCAAACAAACAAAAAAAAATCAAAGCAACCGTGAGCAAATAAACAAAGCTCTCAGCACCCATGCCATGGTTGCTCAAGGTGAAGGCTGTCCGAGAAGATTTCAACTATTTCGAAGGGGTGGGGGAAACCCCGAGTGAAGCCTAGATGCATTGTCTAAGGGTGTCCTGGCAAATCGAAGTAGTAGTAGGAAATATTACAAATAACTTGAAGAGTTGGAGTCAAAACTTAGATACCCCACCTAGCCAAAAGGGAGTACGTGACTGACTTTCAAACGAAGTACGTGGTTGAGCTTACGGCACAAAGATTGACCTTGACTTGCTGTCTGCGAAATCGAACACAACGATAACCCATTTTACCAGGCAAGAATGACATAAAATCTTATGTTTTCAAGTGCATGTTAATGAAGGTTGAAAGAAAATTATCATTAGCTTTCATCATTTACGGAATTTGTCTCCATCTTGGTAGAGAAGATATTTATTCAATTCTGTCCATTTTTTGCAATTTTACTTTGAATAATGTTTTGTTCATTTGTAAACACTAAAGTACAAGAGGTCAAATCGTAATGACAAGAGCAGTGCAGGATTTTTGTTTTTTTATTATTGTTTTTGACCAACAAGTCCACGCGTCTTAAATTATAACTCTTGCTCCTCTTAAAACTCATGTCTTTATAGATTATTACTTAAAATAATGCAGTCAAGGAACACGATACGTTTTAATAGATAATTTAGAAACTGAAGGAATTAACTCAACAGCAAACACCGACCCTTTGTTTTAACAAATAACATGTTCCATTTTACGCGGACTACTCAATTGAAGCATGGATTAACGATTCGAATAAATCGACGTTTCTCGACAAAATAGAAGAGTGCCATACATCCGGATAAGCAGCTTATGACTATTGTGTCGGCCAAAATAGATGAACAAATCTTACCCGCTACGGGAATTTCTCATCTAAAACTGTCCTGCTTACCTTTCAAATTGACGTTCCAACAATGCTTGCTCCACTCACAAATTCTCGATTTCAGAATGTTCAATTTTTATACATTAACCAGAAGACGTCCTGCGATAATCCGCTTGCATCGCTGTAATTTCATTTTTTGCTTTGAACACATGAGAGATTGTGGCTTTTTTATACGACCAGTCAATAGCGTACTATGTTGATATTATTCCAAGAGCAGTTCCTGTTTCCGCTCGGCGGGTATCACTTCCGGTTTGTTCGTCTCCTCTTTTGATGAAACCCGTGATGAGTAGATCAAATCAAATCGAAAATAGAGTCAAACTAAGAGGCAGACGACGAGTATCAACATAACTATAACCTTTTCAACTACAAAGCAATAATTTCCTATAAGAATAATTTAACAGAGAATTGACTGCTACTTGTTCTGCTCAAGACCCAAATGATTTGATCGCGCAGGCTGCGAATAATTTTAAAAACAGAATTTATTGTCAGATGTGCTTTAAAGCAGGACGTGATGAGTTTTTAATCTTTTTCAGCAAATCTGCAACAATTTGCCTTATCACTGAAGATTTACTATTTTGGGATAGCTAGTGGTAAATTTACCATGTCTACATGTAGGGTGCGACGCAGACCGATACTTCACGGCTTTTGCATGATTGAAACAGAACCCTCGTGTAAAAATGACGGGGTGATCCTAGGAGAATTGGAATAATAGAAACCCCTAAATAAAGGAGACCAATCAGGCCCGCGGGTACTTAAGCTATAATTGCCTATAAGGGGAAGCTCTTCCCAGAATCTGCGCCCGAAAGGGGTCCTTTTTAAGATTCAAATATCACCAAAATTAAACATTATATAGGGATGGACCTATGGGCGGAGCCCCCCTGAATTGAAAATTTTGTTGAGTCCCCCCCCCCCCCCGGGACATCTGCCTCAACGCAGTATGACAGCATTCCTTGTACAGACCTTTATGAGCAAAAATATTGGATTTCCTCTGAACACCCAAAGTGAGACTAAAATCTGCAATTTCTACCCATAAGCGAGGCAAAGAGCATCTCCGTAGTTTTCATGTGGGAGTCTTCCCCGGGATGCAAATTGTAGCTGTAGACGATGCACTTCTCCAAAGTATAAAATTCGTCTTAATAATGTCTCTATAATTACTATCTCATTTCTTCATCTCTCTGCCTCCCACTTGTGTTCAAACGAAAACGAATACCATTTATGTGTAAGTGATAATAAGAAATTTGAAAAAGGACATTCTATCTGTCAGTCTCACTTTTTTAAAAAGAAGAGGAAATTTCGAATATATAACAATTTATTGCTATCCCCTCGTAGTCCAAAAAAAATTCTCTCCTTATTGTATCTAAAGATAAGTTCGGGTTTTCTTCGTCGATTGCCTGCGAGCAAGCTCTCCTGTTTGGGCGAAGACAGCGAGTCTCGCGAGAACGGGCGAGCGAGCGGCGAAGCCGCGAGGGACAGAGGAAAGGAGAGCTTGCAACGATCTCTCATAAAATTTCATTTGTACTTCGCTCAGACGAAGGGAAATACCATTGGCTGAAAAATGACGTTCCGTTCTCGCGAGACTCGCTTCGCTCGCCTAAATAGCAGAGCTTGTTCGCAGGCTACTTCGTCGAGGGTTTCTAACACAGACAAGTATCAGGGGCACCCAATGGATCTGTTCCTCAAAATATCTGTTCTTCAGGCACATTTTTGCTGGCTGGGAGATGTGGAAGAAATAATAGTCCTTGGAAGGAAAGTGTTGCTGGGAAAAAGATAATTCAGGGTGTCTGGGAGTGAGGAACAGATAATTTTTTTCCAGCAATCTCCCAAAATGCTTAAAATAGTCTCAGAAAACTTTATTCACGCTTTGTTGTTGTTTTTAGGTCTTTTTCTCAAAATTTCCTGTTGGGTGCCCCTGAAGTATTGAAGTTCATTTGGGCACAATCTGTTAATCTTATAGTATCAGTGTTAAGGAAAGAGGAGAAGAATTGACTAATTGAGTCAGCTGTTGAGTTGAGTAGTTGTAGATGGACTGACAAACTGGTTAAAAATTCATGCAGTATTCTAAAAATTCAATCGACAAAAGACATAAAGTCATTGGTTTTCACAGCAGTGCTGCCCGTTCGAGAATTTATTTTTGCGATCTTGCTATGTTTGGTAATTCAATTCAAAGCGGCTTAATCCGCAGAATCAGTTGGGGAGAGACCGCAGATTAACTCATAAAATTTAAATACTTCTTTCAACGCTTGAGGAACATGATCATTGAAACACTCGATCCTCTTGTCGCACGTATCTTGAACACGAAGTATTATTTGCACGTATTACTGCTTCCTTGATGAACCGTGGTTCTGGGCGGCGTTCCCATTAACACGCCTCCCCTTGGAAAGATACGGCCTTCCCCCTCATCAAAGAACTTGACTTTACAAATATGACACTGACCCAGAAAAGCATTTGATATATAATTACGACAGGTCAGAGGTTGATCACGCGACAGTTAAAAAGAATCTGTACTAGAGCGATTGCTGCAAACTCCATTGGACCGAATAGAGAATAATCACTTAACTGCGATGTGAAAAGATCATCTACCATGGGTGAGATAGGCATTCCGTAGCCTGAGATCATGCCCTCTCCCTATTATCCCCCTATGTCTCTAAAAAAAAAAAAGAAAAGAAAAACGCCTGATGGCATGTTAGGCGTTCAGGAACTCACTGCTGACCCACAGCACATCGCTGGAAATCTTTTTACGTTATGTGAGGATGGAAACATTGGTAACATTAGCCGAATAAAGTTAAGCCTGTTTCATGGCTTTCAGTTTAATTATCGAAAGGAAAAAGATCAAACACAGGGGTTCTCACATGGATTTAATTTGCCAAGTACATAAACTAATTGATTAATATGAAGCTAAAATACCTAGATAACGAGCTATAACTAGATGTATACTGCGAGAAATGCATTTGTCTCCACGGTCCTGACCTAAGTAGTTACAGCTTGGGTGTGGCCCACGGGCACGTAGATGGTGTTTTGTATCGCCGGTGACAGTACAATTTAACCATAGTTTAGACTCAAGTATAATCAGGAGCCGAGATATATGTGTTTATGATCGGAATTTGCATTTATGGCCGCAGTTTGATCCTCTAGGGATTTTCGTCACATCTCGGTATTTAAGCCTTGTTGCCTCTCGCGTTAGTCACTCGACACAGCCAGTTTCACCGCTCGCACCTTGCCGAGCTTAATTTTTCTAGTATGCTGTTTACGTTTAGTCTCGTAGTTTACAGTGATGTAATTCGTTTTTCTCCGCCACTACTTTATTTCTTGTATGTTAGCTTTTCTCGTCCCCAATAAACACAACTGGTCGTGTCCTTCCTATTTCAACGTGTTGTTGCCTTTCTGCTGATTAGAACTTAAACGTTTTCTCTGCGGCGGAACGCAGTGACATAGCAGAGAAATAATGTTAATGTTTTTGCTTTCTGATCCAAACTGAGAATTAAGTTCCTCAAGTTTATTTGAAAAAAAGATGAAGAACACGAAGAACAAGAAGAACAAGAACAAAAAGAATTGAATTTGAATGAAAAAATGGCCACAACGTTCTAACTAATGATTATTGCGCACCAGCTAGTGCTCACGAAACAGAGGAAAATACTCATGTGGCTATTTTCTCTTTGGAAACTAGAGCAAAACAGGATTAAGTCACTTTACATTTTCCGGTACCAGCTATTTTAAAATAAGTCTAGAAAAAAGTTTCTTAAACCTTTTCCCCTTGGGAAATATAAAATGACATAACGTGCGCGTAGGCACAGTTGTTTATTCTCTTGTAGCACTTCCCTTACAACTAACCTTGACCTCTAATTATGATGACTCTGCGCATTATTAATAATACGTATTGTCTAATTGCTGTACATCACACTGGGTCCCACTAGGGCCAGTGGAACTACCCTCGCCTAAGCACAGGCACACCACCTTCTGTTACTTCAATTCCCCCGTGAAATCCTTATCAGCAATTGACTATCAGCAAATGATAGCGCGTTTAACTGTTCGGGACAGCGAAAACACAAGATACATGACTTATTGAACTCCTGTATTTTGAAGGAAATTCAACCACGCATAATGTTCATCGGTATTTCTTCTATAAAGTACAAAATTAAACAAAAGATCGACGCGCAGTTTTCAACGACCAAAGTGTGGTCTGCCTGTGACCCAAGCAGGACAACATTGTTTTCATAGTTCTGTTAAAGTTTCCTGTTATGATATGGAGCCTATATCATAAGCTTCTTTGTGGAAATTTATTTCTATTTCCTATTGTTTTCTTCTCTTTCCTATCTCAAAAAAAGCATACTCTTTCAATTCAGGAATTCCTGACTCTTTTTCTTCACTATCATCACAGTCACACGACACGGCT